AAACAAGTTACCCTTTCAGCTCCCTTTCTGGGAAATAATAATGTCATGTCTGGTTAGCAAGAAAATACTGCTAATTGATACTAATAATAAAACACTAACTAGTACCTAATTTTCATATAAAGAAGCATTGCGTGGGAATATGAAAGAATGTATCCCAGTATTTTTGTTGGTTGTTTTAGCCCCAAACTAAACAGTAAGCTACGTGTGCTCAGTCCACTACGAGGAATCGAACTTAAAGTTGTCATGTTCTGTCCCTGTAGTCAGACATATATAGATATACATCCCAAAATATAATGTCTTCAGTTACTAGGCAACCCCTGCACAAGGAAAATCCATCCAACAAAACACTATCCAATCTCTGGTTAGTTCTTAGAGATTCTTAATTTATCTTACATAAATTATTTCTCTGAAGTTACAAATCTGACAAAAATAGTATTAATTCCACCCATTTCCCATGCACAAATACCGAGTACCAAAATAGTTGTAAGTCCCTAAAACTACAAAGTGCTAATCGTGAAAAAAAGGATTGCATGTAGGTCCCTTTTAAGAATTATTTGGGAGGGCAGAGACTCATATTTTATTCGACATAGATATAAAAAGTAAATTAAATACTGAAAGATAACAAGAGGTCCTGTAATGGTTATACTAGTCATTCCTCCTAGTGCCTCTGATAAGTGTAGCGGACGTGTCAGGGTAAATCAAAGACTTGATGTATCCCCAGGCCATATCCCAAAATCAAAGAACCCTAAATGCATATCCCAGAAATGCCTTGGAGGTCTGTGTAGGGTTGGCTCTGAGGTGTAAGAAACATAATATATTCCAAGTTCCGCCTTCAACAGATCCTTTTTGTTCACATTTAGGCTTGGCATGGCCTGGTGGTTAGGGCGTTCGACTCGTAATCTGCGAGTTGCTCGCCCCTTTCATCCGCGAGGGCATTATAATGTGGCGGTCAATCCCTCTTTACGTTGGTAAAGAGTAGCCCAAGAGCTGGCGGTGGGTAGTGTTGACTAGCTGCCTTCTCTCTAGTCTATCACTGCTAAATTAGGGACGGGTAGCACAGATGGCCCTCGTGTAGCATTGCGCGAAATTCAAGAAATAAAACATTTTCAATTTTATTTATAAGTTTTTCATCTTACCATAATGGACCTAGCGTGTACACATGTATGTAACCGAAATAATAAACACAATGTAGCGCCATCTATTAATTGACACCACAAACAAAAAATTCGCACTTTGGGTATTCAAGATTCAGACAATTAAAAAATAACTACGGTATGCGTAACAAGCATTTCTTTATTACAGAACGTGCTTTTAAATAAAAGTATTCTCCTCACAACAAGATCACGACTTTCACTAGGACAGTACGTGAGGGTTTGATTATATCTTTATTGTTTTAAGTAATGTTTTTATATATTAAAAGTGGCACCCTTTATTGAAAAAATAACAGTTTTTTTTAAGAACTCTATTTTTTAGTAATATATTTACAAAAAGTTTATATCAGCACAATCCGAACACTTTTCCCGTGCAGTACTTCCCAGAAAAATTCTTTTTAGTTCACTTTTCTAATTTTTTTGAATGAGATATGAATATTAGCACAAACAGCCACCCGTAGTGCGTAAAACTATATATATAGTTGTATGTTCGAAGATTATGTTAAACAAGGGAATAAAACTATTTAGTATTCCTGCACAGTACAACTGTAAATGAGTGAAAACGAAGTCTGTAAGAAGAAATAGTGAACGTCATATGTGTAAAGAAATGTTAAAATTATATATTTTTCCTGTGACTTTTGTTTTGTTTTGAATTTCGCGCAAAGCTACACGAGGGCTATCTGCGCTAGCCGTCCCTAATTTAGCACTGTAAGACTAGAGGAAAGGCAGCTAGTCATCACCACCCACTCTTGGGCTACTCTTTTACCAATGAATAGTGGGATTGACCGTCACATTATAACGACCCCAAGGCTGAAAGGGCGAGTATGTTTGGTGCGACGGGGATTCGAACCCGCGACCCTCAGATTGTGAGTTGAGCGCCCTAACCACCTGGCCATTCCTGTGACCTAATCCAACGTAGCCTAACGTTAAAATTACTGATTTTCTGCTTTACTGAAGCTTAACCTCACATGAAGATAAAAAGCACGATTTTACCATATTTATTTATTTTATTTTTGTTATATATAAATATAAAATTATTTTGATGTTTATGTTTCCTATCGTAGTTTTATTTATAAAGTTTTCTGCAACTCAAAAAGAATCGTTATAAGGAGGTAAAATCATATTGCGTAAGTAGCTGTCAATTTAGTTTTTGTTTTTGCAAAAGGGAATTAAATACGTCATTTGTATCTATTATAATAGTGTTTGTGTGCGTTGGTTTGAAGAAGATTCAAGCTATGTTGTGTATGAGATATGGGACAGCGAAGACAGTTGGATTAAGTAAGATAACGAGTTTGCTTGTATTAAAGAAAACGCTAATACATTAGAATGTTAAACAGTAAAAATGATTCAGTCCAAAACTGCTGGTAAAAATTACAGTAATACAGTACTTAGTTATCTTTAGTAATAAAAGAAATTGGCGAGATATTCATGTAATTTTATCTATTTGTTATTATTTATTCAAGTCATAACACAAAGAATAATGGATCTATATATTAATATTTAGAATAAAGGTATTTATCAGTACTCTATTAACGGCCTATTATGGTTTTTAAGCGCATTAATTTATTTTCAGAAAAGATTCGAGGTAAACAAAATAATGTCTTGGTAAATGTTGGACTAAATCTGTATAGAAAGTTTCGTAAGATTAGGGATGTGTTTGTTTATTTACATAGTAATTTTTCCAAGTTATCTTAAAAGTCTCACTCTTTTTTCCTATTGTTTCAAGTAAATTAACCAAAGAAATGTTTTTATAAATTGCTTGAATTGTTCTATAATTCTATTTCAAAGTGATATCTCTTTCGATTAAATTTCAGACCTAAAATTGATGTCTATACAGTGATGCTGATGTTATAGCCACAGACTTAAAAGAAATTTTATGTGATTATAGCGTACATGTTTTCTAACGATTTTTTTTTATAAATCTCATTAAATAGATTCATTTTAAAACCGTTATTTTTATTTCTTAGACACCTGAAGACTGAAACCTATAGGTCTTTGCAGCATCATTGTGTTGACCATTTACGAAAACTCGCGTATTTCAATAGCATGGAACTACCTGGTAAGTTACAAAGTTTAGAAACACCCAAGTTAACCATTGTGATACACATATAATTTGCCGATATGTTAGAAAAGCTGAAAACTGTTTTTGTAATTACATCTCTGTATCTTAGTGAAGTAGTAGTTTTTACATACACAGTATTTTTTTTGTGGATTGTGAATAAGTGAAGTTTGCTAGCAAGAATAAAGGTAACACTAGTTTACTTAATTTTTATTTTGATAGATTATCTTTACTGACTTTTATTTAGCTCTGGCAGTTTAGGAAACAAGAAATTACTTATCGCGTATGAAATATGTAATTTTTATTTTGAGTATTCTGTGTTTTGCATAAACATTTAAATCATTTCAGATAAGATCGGATGTTTAGCATGCCCAGTAACATTTAATATATTTATTACAGCCTCCTGGTGGGAGAATGGTAAAGAAGAAGAAGAGCCGTGTTGAAAAAGCAGAACAGAATACATTTTATAAAGAACACGTTAATACGTCATATTTATGTGCATCTTTTGGAAAAAATTGGAAATAATATTCTGTAAATCGATTTAAACAGAAATTATATAAATTTAGACAACTAAAATGATAATAATTCTACACTAGAAATCACTAACTTAATAGTATAAGTTTAGGTTCTGCTATTTATACGTATTGGTGAAAATTTTTCAAATAATCAGGTTTAAATTAGCTCACAGTAACAATGTTAATTTAGGACCGTATTAACATATTTTTACATAACATTAATAAAGCCAATGCCTGCCAAATTGTTTTTCCTGATGTAATCTCTTTTAACTCGGCTGTGTGAAAAGACGTACATTTAATAAAAAGGACGACGGCGTTTCGATAAGTCACAGACTTGATGTATTAGTATTGCTAATATTGAGACCAATCCAAATTGTTTATAGCGTCAGCTATTGACCATTTTTGACGTTTCTTGTTAAAATTTAAACTTTTACATGGAAATTTTAGAAACCAATTCCAGACGTAAATTAATTTTTATGTAACTTATATTTCTCTGCAAATTTAAATGCGAATCTCTAATTGTAATATCAGTTTAAAAATATAAAAATAATTAATACGTGATGATAACCTCGACATAGCTATGACAAATAGATTAACAGATCACAAAGTTTAATATAAAATGTTATTCTTTGAAACTATTTGCACTGGGGACTTCATGTTGGTGTGTTCCTCTTTTTCATAAGTATCACTCAATCCTTCCTACATTTGATGTTTTCGCTTTTCTTCATGCTGTTTTAGAATGAAAAGCTACAAGTTTATCTTCAGAGTTGAGGGTCGCGTCCGAGACATGAACTTAGATACAGACATTCACCCCATTTTGTCGTGTTTACACATACTTGCCGACCTTTCTAACAGAAAAATAGAATAAAAAAATAGGTAGGTCAGTGTCCTTGCTAGTAGGTTAGTCTGGGAGTATCCCCACGTCCCGGAAAATTGGTGTGTGTGTGAGGGGGGGAGGGGGAGTGAAATGACGCAGTTTTCTACATTCTAGGCCACATAACTTCTGACAAGGTTTCAGTGGCTGCTCTCATCAACTTCCGTGTGCCCCTTCTATCCTTGAAAACATAATATATAAACATCTTGACTGATATGTTGCAAAGCGGAAAAATTACAAAATCATGGGGTTGGCAAGTATGTTTACACAAAACTTGCCGTATTCAAACTTGGAAATAATATTCTGTAAATCGATTTAAACAGAAATTATATGAATTTAGACAACTAAAATAATAATAATTCTACACTAGAAATCACTAACTTAATAGTATAAGTTTAGGTTCTGCTATTTATACGTATTGGTGAAAAATTTTCAAATAATCAGGTTTAAATTAGCTCACAGTAACAATGTTAATTTAGGACCGTATTAACATACTTTTACATAATATTAATATAGCAAGAAGGTTGGTATATGAATTATTAACCACCGTTGTTGTATTTTCTTTTTATCATGATGAAGCCAATGGCTTTAATAAATATGTTAAATGTTACTGGGCATGCTGTGTACAAAACGTAATTTTTGTTTTATCGTATTCAAAATATTCATTTGACATTTTGAGAAAGTCTTTTCCTAACCACTACACTGCCAAAAACTACGAGGGTTAAAGCCTTGATATTTTTTCTTTTAGTTTTACGTTTAATTCGGTGAATCATGTTTGATAATTTCTTATGGAGTGTTCAGAAATTAAACTTATCTAAGGTATGTGTTATTATCAATGTTACTTTCTTTAGATTAAATGTGTAATGTAGGTTTTCAAGTATTTTGTTTTGATCTGGCTTAAAAAATAAACTACTTTAAAACACTTCTTAATATTTCGGTGTTTATCAATCTTCCACTAGAGCAAATTTATCTAAGCTATAGTTACTGTTATGAATAAAGCTATTTCAGCTGAATTTAAGTATGCAAGCAGATTAGATATAGCTTTAGTCCTCACAGTGACTTTTAGCACAGCTGTGTCTACATAATAATTAATATATACCCTTAATCCTACAAGTAAGCTTTAACTTGGTATGGTTTATATAAGCAAATAAATAACACACACACACACCTTTAGTCCTATAAGTAAAAATTTAACCTACCAGATTTTACATATGTAAACAATTACTATATACCCATAATTTATAAGTAAAACTTAAACAAGCAGTGTTGGTTTACATAAGCAAAGAAATATTATTCTTAGTCCTATAAGTAAAATTTAACCTCACTTTAAGCAAGTAAACAAACCACAATGAACAAGGTAATATTATTATTAAGTGAGGTTAATATTTACACCAAAATCCATAGCAATACAAACACGTAAAGTAAAGCTTTCATTACAATTTTTATTGTAAAGCAAATTTCAAAAATAGGTACAATTGCCTTTAGTTTCCTAAATACAATTTGATAGTGTATAGCAAAATATTTAGTATAAATTATTCAAGGAAGTTCACTAAATATTATTACAATACAAAGTCAATATATAAAAATATACCATCACATAGCCATAGACTATGTATTTTCAAATAAACTGGGAACATTCCTATTAACTATATTACTGAACTATCTCACCTTCTTTGCAATAAGCCTTTAACATCCAATTCTTGTGAAGGTTTTCCTTGAAGTCTTCTTTATATTAAGTATCCTTAGTACTCATGTGTAACAGATTTAACATTATAACTTTTCTTTTTTCACACAATAACACTCCACAGCTTATTCCTTTAACACTATTATAAAAACTTTGAACTTTGTAGAAATAAAATATTACGTTTATCTTGAATAAAATTTTGAGTCGATTTTATTTTCATCAAACCTGGAAAGGTATTTTCGAATATTTGGTACTCCTTCATAATCAAAATTCTTACACATAATTTCACCAAGACTGTTAAAAACATTGGTGGCTAGCTATTATGCCTAACCTAATAATGAAAAATTCCTGCTTTTATTTTAAGTTTTGTTCAGTAGATGTCTTGCATAGCTAAAGCTTGTGCTTATATTTTGACGTAATAAAACTTGCTACATGAAATACCCATACTTTTACAACTACAGAATTATTATAACCTTCCTTAGAATCCTGATACTTCAAAATCCTATTTCTAGATCTGTAAGTGCTTTTAATAACCTTTCTAACGAGTCTTGCATATTTCCTACCTGCTTAAGCAGCCCTCATTTAAACTTTAAGCTATATAGTTTGATTGTTTTCATTAGTGACACATTGATAAAATAATTTTTCATAAAAACATATTTTAGATTATAAAACTTTAATCGTGGAGTGTATCATTACTTAATAAACATCAAAGAAAACATATTTCACAAAGTCACATGCGAGTTAAAACCATGGAACCTAGCTTCACCATTTCCAAACTATGTTTACACCAGGTTCGACATGGTTTTTATCAACATTATATCCAATATTCAACACAAAAGCTTAAACACATCCTTAAATTTCAAGAATATGAAGAAACTTTTTCTGGCCAACAAACATCTCGCACAGTTTATGGAATGCATATAGGAGCTTTGAAAGTATTTTAAATAACAAACTTCCAATAATGTCGTTGTTAGATATCATAATGTGAACTTTAGTTTCATATGCACATAGGAGATGATTATACAATGGTTAAAGTCACTGGTACAATGAAATAAAACTTATTAAAAACACCAAATAAACTACATATGTTTGTAACTGTCGTTACTGCTACAAGTTAAACCGAGTCAAGATGGGTTTAAATATGTAAACAAATATTTCCTTAAGTATCAAAACTACAATAAACACTTCCAGTCAGGAATCACTATTAAACACAACTACAATGTAACAAAAAAAAAACAATTCAGTTGGTTTCTATTTCAAGATTTTTATAAAGTAGATTCTTCTTCACCTGTACAGATACTATGACAAAATAAAACTAACTGTAGGATAAGATCAATCAATGATGCCAAAGGAAAAAGATATTCTTGTTTCTCATTATACTGAATTTAAAATTAGGGTAGGTAGGTTTTGATAATTTTTCCTCGTTAGTGCTTCCTGCATTCTATTTACGTGCATCTTTATGTACCTCATCTTCTTTATGTTGCTTTCGTATTTGAATTAATATAATTAAGTACCCTGAAGTATGAACAGGTTAGCAATATGGCCACCACATATTGAGGATTAACCACAAGATATATAGGCCTAAACATTATGTTTATGAACTTAAACACGATGAAAGAATTAGCAGAAAGAATCACCAAACAAAAACAAGATTTCAAAAGACTCAGAAACTCGAGTGATTTTGAATGGTTGACTGGACTTCTATAAGATTGAAAAGGTCCTTAAATTTCTGGGTTTTTGTATTCTACTTGATATTTAGAAACTAGTATCACCCAATAACACACATTGATCAAAGTGTAGATTGAACTGGACCTTTCTTGAACTTAGACTTAAGAGTTTAAACAATTTTCAGTATAATAAGTTTATTTATTAGTTACTGTTTAATTGATGATTCATAAAGTTAATACTTCAGTCAAAATAGCTTTTAAAAAGCATCATAATATACATTACTAACATCATACATTTACATTGACAGCAGGGTAATATGAAAAAATAAATCCATCTTTTTGATTCTTCAGGAACACAGCTTTCAAACTTACAGTTCCTAGGCTAGAGTATTAATTTCTTGCTACTTTTTAAATGGTGTCTGATATAGTATGAAGAAACTGAATATTTAAAATAAATACCCTTTTGTCTCAAATACACAATCAAGTAGACTGACAAAAAATAAAATAAAGAAAAATGAAGACATATGTTACAGTAGTCATAATTCAGTCGTTTAACTTTCTTTTTCTGTGTCAGAATTTTTTTTCAAATTTAAATACTTATCAGCAACCTAATAGGTTTTACTGAAATTCATACTTTAAGGTCTTGACAGTGAAAAAACAATATTTTCATAAAGTTTAACCAATGCTGCATATATTTCAAGAACATTTCCTAAATTTTCCACTAATAATATTTTTATTTTAAAAGTATATGTTTGTTTGTTTCTTTGTTTTGAATTTCGCGCAAAGCTACACGAGGGCTATCTGCACTAGCCTTCCCTAATTTAGCAGTGTAAGACTAGAGGGAAGGCA